AACTTTGTATGGAGAAGCAGTGGTGTAAATTAACCTTTAAACACACTTGACACTATTTTTTCCATGTATTTTTACCTCCCTAAGGTAAAGTGTAGTATTAGCCTTTCTTATATCCACACAAGTGTATTAAACAATAGTAGAGCTAGAGTTTAAACATAGCAGCTTTATATCATTGTGGTGTCCTAGGAGTTGGCCTTATTATTAGTTGGTAATCTAATCATTAATCACTGGATTTCCATGAAGGGGATTAAAAAATAAAACCATGTTTTACTCATCCTCTGGTGGTGAAATCTCTCCAGCATAAATGTCTTATTCTCTGAATGCCTTTAGCTGTATCTCACCTAAATCCAGAAGTGTGTTTCAGGGGGATGATGGAGCACATGTGCAGGTGTCACCCACCAAAAGTGGGGGAGATAGCATCCATGGATGTACCTGTGCATCAAGAATAATATGATCTGTAGAAATAAGATTTGTCTAAATAAGTAATATTCTGTAACATGACCATTGGCTAACCATGTAATCACGCATTGGCTAACCATGCATTTGCATTCCCACATTTACAGACAGGGATCAGCAGAGAAAAGACAGACTAGTAAAAGCAGTTGAAAAATATAAGAGGGAAATCATGCAAATCCTTTCCACTCCACCATTTAATGCCAGGAGCATTTCTGCACATCAGCAGAAGGTAAGCAATATTCTTAGCCCGTTATTATCCTGGGATCTGACTATACTTGCATTAAGAAAGCAGCAAATCACACAAAATGCTAAAAAACTTCCAATTAACTGGTTTTAGTCTCACACGATGGTATATGCCTCTAATGCAGCAGTAAAGGCAATTTTATTAATTAAAACTACAACTTTTTCAAGTTTCAACCAAACAACTGTATTTTGTTTACCACTGTTTTATTAAATTAGAAATAATATTTGACTTAAATTTTGCTTTTGTGGGTTTTTTCCCCTCTGAACAAAACCTGTTTGTTGCTCTCACTCTACAATTAACCTACATGCATGCCCTGAGTGATCTACTAGGCTTGTAGGCTTGCCATAAACTGTGATATGAAAACAATCGTGCTTTATGCTAGCTAGAACTCCCACCTACACTGTTGTTATCCTTACATAGCCTCCCTGCTAGCAGTATACATGTGTGCACACACACACGCTTTGCTCCTTTGAGCTAAGGTGTCTCATCAGTTTTAACTTGGATGAGAATTTTTAACCAAGAACTGCATCGGTCCTTGGAGCTGATCAAGTCTAATATTAATATATGAAAACAAAAAGCAGTATCTTGCATTTAACACTTTATAGAAAATCACCCACTTGAAATAATTTAACCATGTACTTACTGGTATTTCTATTAGGAACAACCTGTTTTGTAAGAAGAAGCTTTCAATGGATCCAAGTGTCAAGGGTTTCTTTACTGTATTGATTGAGATGCAATCCTGTGGCCTTTATTGCCTCATATTTCCCTTGTCGTTATTTCAGGAAGATTTTTTTTGTTAAAAATAAGAGACTCAAAAAACTGGCTTCATTTATCTGTATGTTTATCAAGTTTCAATTAACAGATGGCTCCTAGAGTTACATTGTAGAATCTAGTTCACTTGTGCAAATACAGTGGACCAAATCCTGATGTCACTAAAATAAATGGCAAAACCCCCATTGAGTCTGTGGATTTCACCCACCATGTCTTGAGTTATTAGAGAACATTTGGCTTCTGATTTTAATTTGGGACCCAGGAGTGCTAGTATTTACATACATATATATGCAAAAAAAAAAAATTTTTTAAGAAAAAAAAAAAAAGAGGGAATGATACTCACCTTGTTGGTGCAGCTTTAGTTGAAGGTCTGTGAGCTGTGTCCACCCGAAAGCACCATAAATGGGAACACACAGGAACCAAAGAAAGGAGGTCTTTTCCCTCCTGCTGCCAGACCATCATAATCAAGATCTTGGCTTCTTTAAAAGGCAAAGAGAACAAGCAAGGTACACTGCAAGCTCTGGAAGTGTCTCACAGAGGTTTTGCTCAAATTGCAAACTGCTGAGCTCTAGGAATCATTGATATCACTTTCAGAGCTACTGATGGGACATCAAGCTTTGTGTTAGAAATCTTAAGCCTCACACTGAGCTGAAACGGCTTTGATCCACTGTTTGACAACTATTTTGTTCTCTACTTTGCAGTTGCCACTGTCAGATAAGAGCCACCTGCACTTGGCATTTGTTGAAAAAGGATGCTCCATTACAGAAAGAGAACATCTCTCTTACATACCTTTCCAGAAATCATATTCAAGGATTCCATCACCAGTTTTGGCTGCAAGAGAGACCATACATGAAATTGTTCAGCAAGCATCATCTCAGACTCCTGCTTTTAGACCAACTCGGTGCAAGTTATCTTCACCACATAGACAGTCTCACTTGCATGTGATGGGTAGCAACAGGAAGATGACGTTTCAAGATTCTCATAAGAAAACATACAGTGGTGATCTCCTTGACAAACATTCAGACTGGTTCACAGAAAAAAAGCAACCTTTCACCCCCCAAATTTTAAAGACATCAAGTCAGTCTTCTCTTTCAAAGTACAGGTACTATAATCCTCCCCACAAAAAGATGAACCATTGCCAGGGAAGACAACCCCTTAGATCAGCTGCAGCATACAGTCAAAAGTCAAGCGAATTTTACAGGTAAAACACTGGCAGTAAAGAAGTGCTTATCAATTGTTTGCAGATTAGTAAGAAAAGCTTATGCAACTTTAGCAGTTCGCTTGCAAATACATACATCTCTAGCCAATTCTATTAATTTTCCTTTTCATCTTTCAGTTCCTTAGAAGAGGCACATCTGAGATCACATCCAAATTACTCTACATGGCAACTGCTTAAGGTTGTTGTATCCAATATGGAATGAAGTAAAAAAATATGGTACCAATATTTATATACAAAAGCTGTCTTCTTTCCATGTCCAGTGCCATTTTAGAGATTGATAGAAATCCTGGTTTTCTGTGTTTAAAAATGAAAATTTCTCTGATTAAGACAACCCAATATCCACACTTTTTTATTGATATATTTACAACTTTAAAGCAATTTGGAAACCTACCAGTGCCTCAATCATTATAATAAAATTAATTTGAACTATGTATACATTTTGGCTTTTGATTTTGGGTTATTTATCATGGAAAATTAGAGCTCTCCCTGTCCACTTCACTCACCAGGACATGGGGCCAGCTGCAGCTATCCCCCCTCACTTTGTGGCACTGAGCAGCCCTGATAGGCCAGTGTCCCTCACATGCAACCCACAGTCCCACATCCCTGCTGGTACCCCTCACTCCCAACCCGCAACCTCCTGGGCCTTCCCTTATTCCTGACCCACAGCCCCCCCACAGCCCTGCTGGTGCCCCTCGCTCCCTACCTGCTGCCCTCTGCCTCTAGCCCCTCAGGGTCAGAGGAATGGAGTGGGTGTGTGGGGAAGGTGGGGGAGTACAAGTGACATGGTGGGGGGCCTGGAAGGGGCACAGGTCATGCAGGAGGGAGCTTTGGGGGGCACAAACCACATGGCAAGGGGGGGCACGTGCTCCCCCCCAAGATTTCTGGGCCCACAGTAGGGCCAGACCAGCTCCAGAAAGGAGCTACCTCTGTGGCCCATCAGGTGGGACCCAGTGCTAGAAGGAGTGCCACATTGCCATTGTGAGCCACAGCAGCAGTAGTGCAAAGTTATACCCCCCCTGCTGCTGCCAGGTGGGCGGGGAATGCCTCAGCTTGGTGGCCACAGTGGTGCAGTGCTCCCTTTAGTGCTGGATCCTGCACACTGGGCCACAGAGGCAGCTCCTCCAGAGCTGGTCTGGGTCCACTGTAGCCCTATGCCCTGCACCCCACTGTGGGCACAAAAATCTCAGGAAGCACATGGCCTCCCTCACCCTCCCCAGCACATCAGGTGTGGGGCCCCCCACACCCAACATGTGGCCTGTGCTCCTTCCCCCCACCTCCATAGACTGCGGGGAGCTGCAGGAACTACTCTCCACCACTGCCTGGCTGCCACGTGTATGTGTGTGCACACATGCACATGGCGTCTCCTGTCTGATCACCCTCCTCCCTCTCCTCACAGTCCCTTGCAAGCTGGAACTGTGCCAGCCTGAAAGGGGAAGATGCTGTTTCCCCATGTTTTCTCCTGTAAAGGAGAAATTTGTGTTTTTCCTCAGTGAATGGAAAACCCAGATGCCTGTTAATAACTATGGAATTTAAAAGTTGTAATGGAAGAAAACCAACATAAAATTAAAGAATGTTGCAAGATGTCATACACATGGTTCATACATGATTGGAAAAGAATTTGAGAAGTCTAGCATGTTAGGTTAGGTAAGTGGCTCAGCTACTGTGCTGCATCCCCCTGGGAGGCCACCAGTCCTTTGAAGGGTGCCACGAAATGTAAGCAGATAAGTGGATAAGTTTTTGCCTGTCCTCAACCCTCACTGCCTGACCCCTCTGCAAGGAGGGTAAGCACTGCAATATATGAATTAGTTTTTGATACAATGTGTCAATCAATCCACAAGGTTTTGGAGGGGTGGCTTGAGTCTAATGAAGTTGAGAACCACTGAGCTAGGTAATGTCAATAGGCATCTGTTATTACAATAGAAATAGCTCAAAGAACTACTCTCTTTGGAAGACGCATATCAGGCTGTAATGTGTCTTATTGTGAGACATATAAAAGTCTCTTGCAAACTCTTTCCTACACTTATTTCAGCACCCAGAGGACAAAAGAAAACACTTTGTAGACAACTACACTTATGTTGTTTCCTTTGAAATGTTTTGAGGTCATCACTTTAGCAAAATCCTTGACCATCCTCACTTCTCTATGGTATTAGTCTTCTACCTTAGTGTTTGCATAATTTTTATTGTGTATGTTTATTTCTCTTTCTATGCACACAAAAACTTAGCTTAAATAATACATTTTCTCTGTACAATGCTGCTTATACAGATCATTTGTACTCATGGACTACATACTCACTTAGACGTCTATTGTCCATGAACTGGGCTGTTGCTTCCAGTAGGCTGCTTTATAAGAGCATTAGAATTACTGTAATCTTGACATGTTACAAAATCAGATAATTTTCCTTATGGGGTTTTTCATTGGCATTATAAAATGTTAATAAAGAAGCATTAGAAGATCTTTTTCCTTTTTATTTGAACATGGTAGGACCATGAATTGCGGTTTATCAAACCCCAAACACCACATTCTCCAAGCTCACAGCTTCAGGAAAAGTAAGTGAATAATGTGTTCTTCCTTTAAAATTATTTCTTATTACTTGTCCAATCACATGTGTGATGCTACATTGCCATAGCAACACACAACAGCAATGTAGCCTCTACACGTGACCCTGGTATAGCACCCCACTACGGCAAACTAGCTGCTAAAAATGTGCACCGTGCATATAGGGCAGTATGTGCTGTTACTACACCATGAGGTAGTGCTTCCAAAAGGAAGTACTAAATCAAAGCGCAGTAACAACATTGCCATGGTGGCATGTGTAGACACACCCAGTAAGAAGCTGACACAAAATTGAATCAGGGTTGATTAAGCACAAAGAAACTGGAATATTGATGATACAGGCATTTTGCTACCCATATGAGGGATTACAGGAACAGAGGACTAGAAAAGATCTCTTGGGCCATCAAGCTCAGTCCCCTGCAATTGCAAGAAAACACATCATAATAACCATCTCATAAATTTCTCAAGCTAATAAGAAATATATCATAATAATTATAGCTTCTTCCTATTGCTAGCAGTATTTTTAAATGATACATCAAAGGCCAAGAACTTCAACAGTGATTGGTAATATTTGGCTTTCCAGCAGTAGCTGTTTTAAGCGAGGTGGATTCTCAGATGCTCCTTTGGAAAATCAGGCCTCTTTAAAAGTGTACCTAAACTAGGCAAGACCCAAAATTATAGTTGTTACTGAAATTGATCTTTATTTGAATTAGCCTGATCCCTGTGAATTACTAGCCAAATAAAAACTTGCTGGGAAATTTCTTTGATATTTGAATCCTCAGGATTTCCAGAAAAATCAGACCTTAAGCAAGAGCGGCAAACATAATAGAGTCTCTCTTTTGAACATCAAAATCAGTGGTGTTGGACTCAAATAAGAGAACACTGGTAGTGGCCCAGGAAGAGCATCAAGATAAACTAAATCAAGAGACTAAGCAATAAAACTGCTGGCAGGAGCTGCTCTTCTGAAAGAGTTCTGGTTGAGTAACTTGAAAGAAAGACCCACATTTCAGAGCAGTCGGCCCACATGCTACACAGCTGCTGCAAACAGGACTATCTGGAGACTGGCAGCCAGAAAGCTATCTAACAGCAAGGACATAATCAAAAAGCTCTGTTTACCTTTCCATATCCCCTGGAAAGGAGGATATAGTATCCATGCTTTAAACTAGCAGACAACTTGATTTGGTGGAACACCTTTCAGTTTTCATTAACAAAGACTTTAGGGCATGTCTGCCTCAGTTACAGCATTAGGCAGCACCATACTAAGGGTATGAACAGGTGCTCATTTCTAGCACTAGAAAATTCTGGGAAATTTCTGCCACTAGAAATCTTTCCAAAAGAGAGAGCAGTACAGGCAGTACCAGCTTGTAGCTTCCTCCTCTCCCCTGCTCCCTGCACCTGCCCCAGACCAAGGTGATCCAGGTCTGGGGAAGACTCAGGGAGCAGCAGCTGCTTCACTCTTCCCAAGCCCTAGGAAGAAAGGAGCAGAGGGGAAAGGCTTCCTGTGCCTTCCCTAGACCAGGGTTCCTCTGAACTGGGGAAGCACTGGAATAGCTGCTGCTTCTCCCCTCCCGGTCTTTGGGAGAAGGAGAGCAGTGAGGCAATGCTCCCTACCCATTCCTTTGACCAGGGTTCCCCAGTCTCAGGAAGACTCCAGGGGCAGCAGCATCTTAACTCCTCCATGATTAGAAGTCAATCTGTGAGGAAATGCCCCACCTACCAGAGTCTGGGGAAGGAACCAGTGAAGCGTCTGCTTGATAACAGAGGAGTCAAGCCTACAGGTGAGGTGTTGATTCTAGTTGTTAACCTGGAAGATCTTTCTCCTGGATGGGGCCTGTTTCCTATGGGAGAAACTGAATGAACACCTGTAAACTGGCAATTTATACTGGGAGAAAGGCAATTCTCCTGGTAGAAACATAACACCTGTATGTGGCCTAAGACATGCCATTCTCACACCGCACATACCACCTCCTGAAACAGAAGTAGCATAGCCACCTCACTGTGGCAGTGCATATAGGCCAGTAGGCTCTGCTCCTCTGGTGTTGGGTGCCACACCTCACTAAGGCAGTTCACTGCTTATAGTTTGGTAGGTTGCAAGGTCAGTATGACACTGTCTTACCCTATAATGGAGCAGTGTTACCACATCCTTAGGGCTTATCCCTACAGGGGACTCTTCGCCTGGTTAAACATTTCTAGGAAGTGTTGGGTTAATTGCCAGAATTCTGATCACAACTAACCAGCAGGGTGGAGAAAGAAACATGTTCTGCATCTTGTTAGCAAACCTTGATTAAACCCTTCTGGGACCTTTCCCACAGAAACTCCATGACTGACCAATACAATTTTTCTTTGCCTACATCAATTCATTGCTCTAAACAAGCCCAATTTTCTCATCAACATTGTGTCAGCTAACTAACTCGATTCCTTAAAGCAATGTTGAAAACTAGTATTTCCTAATGAAAACAAGCTCTTAAAATGTAATCAGCAGCACAAAGTGACAGCCATCTTTAATTTTAAAAAAGTTATACCAGTTTGCACTCTAAGTTTGTTCATGTTCTATATGGGATAATCAGAAGGTCTTGTAGTGCCTGAATATTGTGATGATAGTTTATGCCATGTTTTTGTATAGAGAAGAAGAGTTGAAATACCTTCAGTTTCTTCAAGAAGTTACAAATGATATTTTGATTAGAAGTTGTTATCACAAGGAGTAAGTACTTCAAAGTTCCTATTTATTGATCTGAAAAACCAAATTGTGGCTAAATATATAGTGGTGAGCCTAAAGGCCTTAATGCTAATGTTGAGACAGACTCAACTTGTCCTTTCGAAGTGTTCTGTGGCTTTTACATTTTGCAAGAATGCCCAATAAAACACAAAGCTTAGAAATAAAATAAGAGGTTCACTGAAAATATTTTCTATTTCCTGATAATGTTGGGTAGAACTAAATAGATATTCTTTGGATCAAGTATCTCTATGAAATGACAATATACATTATTGCTATAAGTGGCCTGGATAAGTCTGGTTTTGATTAGATTCTTGGGGTTAAAAATTACACAGAACTACCTTGAGTCTTCCTCATCAAAATACATCTTAAGAAGGGAGCTTTTACTCTCAAAAAAATGAAAGGTAGAATAAGATTGTAACTCTGTAATGATGCTCTTTTCTTTAAAATTACAGTAGAGCAACTGCATTCTTCTGCTTGCTAAATAATTAATGAAGATCCAAAACTAATACACCGAGCCCAGTCAGGTACCTACCTGCATCTGCGTGGAGTTTTCAAGTTGGCTATTGAAATCGTGCCTTGCCTCCCACATGCACACATTCTTTGTAATGATATTTCTAATAATGAATGTTTTGGGAGTCCCAATAAACAATAATGCTCTGTTTGCCCGCAGCCAACACAGACGAGATAAAAAGAAATCAACATTGGTGTAGGTCTCCTCTCGATTATGAAATTATATTGCCTTCATCTTCACAGTCTCTTTTCTCTAAGGAAAAGAGAGCACAACACCAAACCGATAAAGTCTTTGAACTTCTTCAGATGCCATCTAGAGATAGAAGAGTTGCCAACCCCTGCAATCACCTACACTGATAGACAATTGGGACCACTCATTTTCATTCTAGTGGATTCCAGCCAAAATCCTTATGATACTTTTTAAAAACAGCAACCATAGACATCTGCAGATTTATTTCAGCATGATTTTATTCCTTCCTCATCAAGGATAAGTATAAGCAGTATAATTTCAATTCTTGTTTAAACATACTGTTGCCCACAGCCCATTTTTCATTTCCTAGAGAATTCATAGGATCATAGGCCTAGAAGGGGTCTTCTGGGCCATTGTGTCCAGTTCTCTGCTGTCACAGAGGGATCACTTCCTATAATCCCTACTCTTTATTTGTTCTTAAAAGTAATAAAACTCTTGTTAGTTTAGGAAGCTGTAATAAAATCATTATGCCAAGAAATATATTGATAAATCTAAGTAAGAACTGAGAGACCAAAAGAAATCTCTCCAGCTGCCACTAAATGAACAGAAAGGTTTAGTGCCTGAAAAACTCATTTGTGATTATCTTGGTTTGAATATTGGTCACAGAGTCAAAACTAAATTAATCTGCTCTGCTGTGGTTTTACAATACGGTTGGCACCAACTCTCTTTGCTAACCTAAGGAGTGCTTCCTCCCACCATACATAGTTATCTAGGTTTATGCCTACATTTGCCTGACAACCCTAAGGATTCAGGAATACAGAAGTTAATGGGACTGCCCTGGTGTTAGGCTCTGGGATTCCCAGTCTCAGCATTCCTGGCATTGAAGGACTGGGAGTTCTTGATGTCAAGAAGAGACCTCATAATAGAGCAGAATGTCATGGAAAAGGCCACAGGTCCTCTAATTTGCACAGGTCCTCTAGTGTAGCAAATGAAGCTACACTAACCCTTGAAAGGAATGAGAGGAGTACACATCGCACCCTGTAAAATGGAATCGCAGCAAGAATTGGTAGCTATTCCTGTATAAGCTTTGTGACTCACTCACCTAATGCCTGTAAAAGCAGACATCACTGCACAGCCTTTCTTCCCCTCTCTCTACCTTGCAACTCAAAACCACATTTGCCTGATTATGCTCTTAACGCACTATAGTTTGATGCAGGATGTCCATGCTGCACTCTGGCAGGGTGGATGGTTTTATGTGGACAGTGTTCAACCCCACAGTGATAGACAGTGCCAATGAAATAAAGATGATAAAAAGCCTTGAGCAGAGTCCAAATATTGTGCTGGAGAATCTCTAACAGCAAAATTTAAATTTCTTTTGAGATCCAAACTTCAGATCAATAACAGTTTCTGTTTTAAATCCCAGAGTTGAATTGCTAAATGGGTTTTAGCGACAGTCTATAAAAAGAACAAGTGGTAGCCTCAGTTTATCTGTTGCAGGATTAATATAATGAATACATATTTTAGAGCCTCTATTCATCTAGTCCAATATCTGTAAAGATAAAAACCTTAAGTGCCCTATCCAGCTCAGACATGCAGTATAATGCTTGAAGGATTCTGCTGAAACTGCCAGATCATTGCAGGTACATATTTTTCATGACTGTCTGGTTTCCAATCACTGGGCTAGAGCAAGATCTGAAATATGATTGCAGAACTTGAAGGTCTAATTTCCTTATCTAGTTAAGTTTGTATTTCTTATATGTCGGTTTCCATTAGTCTGTCTTCTACTTACCAATGGTCACAGCCGAAAGGGAAAATATGGAGGCAGACCATTCTGAAAGAATGTCTGTAGTAGGGAACATATTATACATAAGCATATCCTCAAATTAAGAAAGTTTTGACTGTAAACGTTCACCCATCAGTAGTTAACTAATCATGACTTTCAATAGATTTTAAGGGAAAGACCCTCCCTTTGCAGATTCCTCAGGATTCTTCTGTCTAATATAAGGTATTCATCTTTAACTAAGCAAGAGGACCTGGCTGGAGTTCAGCTGTCCCCTGACTAAATTTAGACTGTTAAAATTTGTGGGTAGGACTTAATAGGATAGTTCCAAATAACTTAGAGAGATACAGATTCAACTGCCACAGAAAAGCACAGAAAACCACTACCATCATATGATAATGGGGAGCACAGACATTTATATTTGCCATAAAGAGAGTGTAAAAGATAAAAGTCAACACAATTAAAAATCATAAAGGCAGAAACTGCTATTTTGGGATTTTCATTTATTGCAGACAGCCTCACACCAATTAATGTGTACACTTTGGAGTGAAGGATGTTAGACAGTGTTCAAAATATTTCAGACTTTTTTTTTAATGTAATGATAGCTTTGGTAGGAGTAGGGGACCTACAGCAGAAATGAAGAGTTAGGATGTATCTTCACTATATCTCAAAATTAGTAGTTGTCATTTGAAAGTGTATTGCTTTTTAGGGGATTGTGTTGGTTTGGAGGGTTTTTTTGTCTTGATGTTCCTTTTTGCTTTATTTTAAGGGCATTGGATGTTTTATTACGAATGCACATTAGAAGTAGAAGACATGACCTTGATGAGGTGAGCAAAAAATATCTATTATTAAATACTCTGTCACTTGCAAGAGCAATGTTGTACATTAATGCAGAGTAACAATTTATGCCACTGTTTTCTATACAATTTAAAAATAAGCTAACCTTGTTTCCATAAACAGCAGCACCCTTAGGGTGTTTTGCATTCAGAGCTAGCAAAGGAAGATGTTTATGTATGTTTATATGCACATTTCCAGATTCCAAAAAGTACTTGATGAAATACAGATTGGTTTAGACTGCATAAGGCATTTGTGCAAGAAACATTTGTTGCAACACATTTCTGCTGTTTCTGCCATTTTCTGTAGCAGAAAAGCAAGAGTAGATCTCGGCTCTGAAAGCCCTGCTGCTCTGAAAGTGGGTCAGTAGAGAAACCTCAAAGCTCAGCAACAAACTTTGAAGTTCCATAAGCTTCACAAGCCATTCCTTGAAGCATGTTGCGTACCTGCATGCACACTGAGCAAATCCAGGTGGCCACTGCTAAGCACCAGGAACGTCAACTCAGACAAGAGCTGGAAATTTACTTCTGTGCTGCTGGTGACCCCCTCAGTTCGCAGTCACCCAGCACAAGTGAATTTTCATTAGCAGAAAAATTGACTGGTAATGAACGTGGATTCATGTTGAAATTGTTTGGTAGACGTCTTGAGTGAACTCTCCAGTTAGGGAGCAATCAGCAAACATCGTCCTTTGTTCACGCAGCATCAGACTAACAGGGGTCCACATTTGGGATACTTCATCACTAGTGAAAGCTATAATCACAGCACCAGCTCTTATTTACTGCTTTTCATCAATAGTTCTCAAGGTTCTGTAGCCCCAATTTATAGGATGGGAAACAAAGGCATGAAAAGATTTAGGAAAGGTCACCTAGCAATAGGGCTGTGTGAAATGGGCCCTATTCAATTTGGATTCGGATTTGGTCCAAATTGGGGACAGTGATTCAATCTGTTGATTTGGATCACTGTCCCCAATTCAATTTAGCCGAACCCAAATCTGAAGCTTGATGCCAATTTGGCAAATTAGTGATTTGGACACAGGCACAGCTTTAAAAGTTTTTTTCTACATCCCTTGAGGTAGCAGCGCGGCTCATGATTGCTGCAGTGCTGAAGTGCCTGGAGCGTCCCACAGGAACACGGGGGGCTCTCCAGTCTGCTCAGCAGCAAACCCAGAAGTGGACCAGAAGTACTTCTGGGTCTGCCAGGGAGCATGCGGGGGGCCACCCCGCACCCTGTCCCTGGCTCGGCCATCGGCCGCAGGGGGACCCTGAGTGCCCTCCCCCCAGACCCAGGAGACACCAGTCGCGGGGGGAGGGGGGGGTGCTGCATGCTCCCCAGTGGACCAGAAAGTGGACTGGAAGTGCTTCTGGTCCTGTTCCAGGTTTGCTGCCAAGTGCACTGGGGAGCTCCCTGTGCTTCTGTAGGACACTTCATCTGCCCCAGCACTGCAGCAATCACGAGCCGCCTGCTACCTAGAGGTATGTAGAAAAAACATTTAAAGCTGTGTCTATGTCCAAATTGCCAAATCTCTCCAAAAATCAATTCAGAGAGATTAAACGGTCCTTTGATTCAATTCGGATTCAGAGATTCAGCCACCGAATTGGGCTGAATCTCCACCGAATTGAATCAGGGACCAAAGCTTTGCCTAGTAGGCTAGTGGACAAATGTGGACTAGAGCACTCAGTCACATTATGCAATGCAGATTAATAATAACGTGACCTATCACATGATGCATATAACAAATAGTTTAAGCAATAACTATGGCAACTAGTTTGTGAACAATGAGTTTCCTGTACTATGGACACACAAATAAATTTCAAATAATGATTGAATTAGTCAAGATGACAAATTGAAGCCTTCTTGGGGATGTCATAAACTCAAAACAGGCTTCCAATAATAAATCCCTTGTGTCTGTAAATGCCTCTATTACTGAACCATGCATTATTCCAGTTCCCTAATTCTGTTTGGCAATGGAAAAATGAAAAGTTGGTCCTGTGATTAGGACATGAGACTAGGACCCCTGATACATGGGTCAGATCCTGCTTCATAGACTTTCAATTTGGCTTTGGACAAGTCAGTCTTAGTGAGAGAGAGACACCACAGGATGGGATCAGCGACTGTGCCTATGTAAAACTCCTGGATTCTTAGCGAAGGCACTTAAAAACTAAATTGAAAAGACAGGAGTCATTAGGTTTTCTTGTACAAGGCTGCCAACACTGACCTGTTCAAGGTCCTTCTTCGTAGCAGTGCCATCGAGTGTTGTCCTTCAGGATCCAATGGCTGGTGGAGTTCCTGGTAGTCTTCTGCTGAAACATGTTGGAAACAATATTGGAAAGAATTCCCCAAAGTCCATCTATCTGCTCATTTGTCTCCCCTTCATTTTTGTTAGTGGATGGGATGTTCAGGTCTCAAGTGATTAGCAGAGTTTGAGTGGCTACATGTTGCCTTTTTCTCTCTCACTTTGATCTATGTTAACAGCACCAGAAGGCTGCCAATGGATGATTAGGTTCCCCTTGTACTAAACACAGTACAAACTAGAGCAGAGTATTTATCATAAGGTTTACTGGGAAGGATTACTTTGGGTGAGAAGTGCAAAACTTGAGCGTTTGTGGAGACACTCGCTCTGTGGATGCAGGGAGAGCAATGGATGCAGTATACCTTGACTTTAGCAAGGCTTTTGGTACAGTCTCCCACAGCATTCTTGCAAGCAAGCTAAGGAAGTATGGGTTGGATGAATGGACCCAGAAAACTAGCTGGATCGTGGGGCTCAAGGAGTAGTAATTAATGGCTTGATGTCTAGTTAGCAGCTGTTATCAAGTAGAGTGCCCCAGGGGTCAGTCCTGAAGCTAGTTTTGTTCAATATCTTCATCAATGACCTGGAAGATGGGATGGCATGCACCCTCAGCAAATTTGCAGAGGGCACCAAGCTAGGGGGAGTAGTAGATATGCTGGAGGGTAGGGCTAGGATTCAGAGAGACCTTGACAAATTGAAACATTGGACCAAAAGAAATCTCATGAGTTTCAATAAGGACTAGTGAAAAGTCCTTCACTTAGGATGGAACAATCCCAAGCATCGGTACAGGCTGGGGACCGACTGGCTAAGCAACAGCTCTGCAAAAAAGGACCTGGGGGTTACAGTGGACAATAAACTGAATATGAGCCAACAGTGTACCCTTGGTGCCAAGAAGGCTAAAGGCATACTGGGCTGCATTGGTAGGAGTGCTACCAGCAAATCAAGGGAAGTGATTCTTCTTCTCTATTTGGCACTGATGAGGCCACTTCTAGAGTACTGTGTCCAGTTTTGGGCCCCCCACTACAGAAAGGATGTGGACAAATTGAAGAGAATCCAGCAGAAGGTGACAAAAATAGTTAGGGGGCTGAGGCACATGACTTCTGAGGCGAGGCCGAGGGAACCAAGCTTATTTAGTCCGGAGAAGAGAAGACTGAGAAGAGATTCAATAGCAGCTTTCAGCTGAAGGGTGTTTCCAAAGAGGATGGAGCTAGACTGTTCTCAGTGGTGGCAGATGCCAGAACAAGGAACAATGGTCTCAAGTTGCAGCAAGGAAAGTTTGGGTTAGATTTTTCTCACTAGTAGGAGGGTAGTAAAGCACTGGAACAGGTTACCTAGAGAGTTGGTGGTACTGCATCCTTGGAGGTGTTTTAGACCCAGCTAGACAAAGCCTGGCTAGGGTGATGTCATTGGGGACGGTCCTGCTTTGAGCAGGCAGGTGGTCTATATCTGTGGTTCTCAACCTTATTTATACCAGGACCCATTTGTAAACATTGATGGGCAGTCCTGACCCAATAAATAGATTAAGTAGAAAAAACACAATTAATTTTGGTCCCAACATACTTATTCCACACTACAAGTCAACGCAGCTCAACAGCCTTCATTTTCAAGACAGAAATCAGCATCAACAGGAAAACATTAAAAGCAATATCAACACGTGGCCCTCCATTTCTCCCAAGTGATATTCATCATGTTGCAATTTGCCCTTGCTGGTGCCCCTCACTCCCAACTCAGAGTCTCCTGACCCTGCCAGTGCCCCTCAGTCCATCCCATACCCCTCAGCTCTGCTGATGCCCCTCAACCCCCAGTGTGGGGGCAGGGCATGGATGGGTGTGTGGGGCAGGGGGGTTGTGGGCCACAGGGGGACATGTGCCCCCCAGATTTGTGTGCCCACAGTGAGCTGCAGCCTAGGTGGACTGGCACAGGCAGGAACCATCTCCTCCACTCAGCAGGAGGGAGCTGACACAGGAGGGCAGAGCAGGGCAGTGAGACTTGTTGCTGCTGCCACCAGGACCCCTATGCCAACTGCACCATCAGCAGTGTGGGGCAGAGGCATACTGCCCTCACCTCCTCCTGCCACCAACCACTCCCCTCAGGCAACAGGTCTACCCTGCCACCATATCCCAGTTGCCACTGCCACTCCCCTCAGGCCACCCACACTGCCTGCAACTCCACATCCCCTCTGGGGTATAGCCATGGCCTGAGGAGAGCTGCAGTGGTGGCTGGGCCAGGGCAGCAGGGTAGAGCCAAGGTGCGAAGGGAGCAGCTGGCAGTGGGAGGAGGTTCAGGCAGCATGGCACCCCCCCAATTCATTACTCCTTGCGCTACTGGTGGTGTGGCCGGTGCAGGGGTCCCAGTGGCAGCAACGAGTCTTGCTACTCCACTCTGCCCTCCTGCACTGGCTCCAGCCTGCTGGGCTGTGGAGCCAGCTGCTGCCTGTGCTGATCTGGCCAGGTTGCAGCTCCGTGCTCACTGTGGGTGCACAAATCTGGGGGTGCCCCCCATGCCTTACCAATGGGTTGCCTGTGTTCCCCCACACCCAACATGTCATCTATGCCCTCACCCCCACCCCATAGACTTACCTGTCAGGAACTGATCTCCATGCTGCCTCACTGCCACATGCAGGTCCACACATGCATGTGGTGCCCCCTGCCTGATTGCCCTCCTCCCGCTCTCCCCAGCAGCCACTTGCAGGCTGGAACTCTGCCT